AGTGACTTTGTTCTATTTACTTTATCATTTTTTGTTCTAACATTTTTTTCTATTTCCCAGATGCTCATAGCATCATGAAGAATGCAAACTATTTTTAATGAACAACAAAACATGATCTATTAAATATATATATCTTCCACTTGAAGTCCAGCTTTCACTTGTTTAATTATCAACACAGAACATAATTTGTCTTTAAAAAGACAGAAAGAAAAGATATTTGACATTTAAAGCATATCCTCAACTAATTAAACTTTTTTTGAAGCATATTCACTGTGTGATTGCCATGTTATCTACTTTGTAAGGCTTACTTACGACAGTTAGTGATAAACTTCTATTCGTTGGTCATATAATTTTTCAGAAATAATTTAAATTATATCTTAAGATATTTCACGACCTCACACAACATGTCCTGATATGAAGACAAATTTCAAAGGAGAGGCACATATTCTGAGTAAATAACTTATGTTACAAAGGGGAGCGCGATGACAAAATGATATCAAAGTTGTAACTAGGGAAACAGAAAATTGATTATCCATGGGGGCAAATACCCCTTGCCCGCCTTGCGGACGCCCATGATATCTAGCTAAGGAACACAAATATTATATAAAAACTCGGCAATTCTACAAGTTTAGAAATATAGTCTGCTTGGTACACTAGCAGATAAGGCGTACGCCCTCACCCCCTCCTCGCCAAACAAAAAGCTAAGGTTATCTCCGGAGCCGGGGGCATATGACCGCTTTCCATAGAATCTTGTCACAGTAGGTGATACCTCCTATTTAAACATCCTGGACCATCTAGTGCCAGGCCTGGCATGGCCTGGAGGTTAGGGCGCTCGACTCGCAATCTGTGAGTCGCGGGCTCAAATCCTTGTCATCGAACATGCTCATCCTTTCAACCGTGGAGGCGTTATAATATGACGTTCAATCCCACTATTATTTGGTAAAACAATGGCCCAAGAGCTGGTGGTGAGTGGTATCCTCTAATCTATCACTTTTAAATTAAGGACAGCTAGCACAAATAGCTCTCGTGTAGCTTTGCGCAAAATTCTAAACGAATCAAACCAAACAAACCACCTAGTATCAAGCATATGTAGGCCAAAGTACAACAGGACACAGCCTAATATGGAGGGTTAATCGCAATTTAGAAAAACGATTAAATGTCCCGTGTTGTCCTTGGAGCTACTTCCTCATCATCAACCATGATGATGAATGGTCAGCCACGCACCTTGAGAGGCTTTCTTCAGACACTACTGTATGTAGACATTGACTAACAAGACCCGGGAAAGTCAAATGCACAGAAGCCCGTGGGTGCACAGTTGGGTAATTTACAGACGTACATATCTGTCAGAGAGGAGGTTTGCAGGAATAACGGTTTAATTTGCTGTGGTCCGTGGAAACGATGTTTGATGCTTTATCTTGGTAGAGCCACATCTTTTTAGCATCCTGGTCAAACAGTTTCATCTCGAATAATTTGTGTTTATACGTTTTCCTGACAGTAATTAGACTTCACCTTCTGCTTTACTGTTTCCATTGTAAGATAAACCAGTGAACTTTAGCAATTTTAGTGGCAGTCCTGTGCGTGATGGGGTGCTGTTCAGGGGGTTTTACACCCTCATATGCAGGTGCTGGTCTTCCTTTGTCGATGCTATTCAGAATGTTTTAGATATTCTGAGATCTTAAGCGCGAAGATAAATAATAACATGTAAGGATATGTCAACCACACTCTATCTGTCATACCTAGTGCTGACGAGGCCTTTCGTCCAATACCAGTTGATTTTGAACTTAGCGTTCTCCAGACCATGCATATTTCTAATATTTCACTTTACAAATATTTTCCCTGTGAAATAACTGTGAGTTACTCCTCCAGATATAAGTCTACCTATAGCGACATTGCACTGTCGAATGATGGAAATTTGCCGTGAATCAATAAATTGTTCTTATAAATATATTGTTCTATACTACCTTATTACTTGCTACGATGACATTATTAGATTTAATTGTTTATACAATATCAAACGATCACACGAAAGTAAACAAACAATTTATAAAATAAATATAAATGTTTTTTTGTTGTTGTTGTTTTTCGAAAAAATATAAATGTTCCTATTATTGATTTTTTTTACATAATGTTATTTCTGAATTTAACAAGATTAAAATATTTATCAAAATTGTAAATATGCTAATCATAGGACTGAACACGTCATGATATTCGTCAAGTAACTGGTGTTGGTTAGACATAGGTCGTCAGTTTTTCATAATATGAACTAAGCATGAAAACATACAAATTGGTGTAAAATAAACTTGCTAAAGTTTCACGGTAAAAAACTAACACATAATCCGTGATATCTAAAATATTTCATTGATTTTCGTTTTTCCTTCTTTCACAATATAGCGGAAACCACACAAGAGCTGTTTCTAATTTTAAACTGATGGACTAGATGGAAGGCACCTAGTCAACAGCGCGTATCGATAACACTCGAGTTATTCTTGTCTGATCAAATAGTGGGATTTGACCGTCACTTTTATAGTACACCCATGACCACAAAGCTAGTTTTAACGGCAGCGGGTCGCGAACCGTGAATCCTGTAATTCACAGTCTGGGCATGTTCGGCCACTTGATGCTAGTTACAAGAATTATAATAAACTTTCCAAAAACAACAACAACATAAATATACATAAGTATTATGCAAATCATATTTTGAATACGTTCAGGCTGGGTGCATAAAAGCAACTTTTCCTTCAAAGTTTGCCATATTTTCTAGAAGTAACGACTGTTGAAACCTATGATCTGTTGTTTTTTTTTTGTGAAGTGAAACCATTTTGGTGGTAACCAAGTACAAATAAAATTACATCTACAACTCATTCAAAGGGAAACACTTTATAATTAAAGGTAATTGTATTGAAAAACACTACACTGTCACTCTTGGATTTCATTTTGAAATGTGTATCATTAATCTAGTGGACTTTCGATCATATCTACATAAGATCAGAAATGTGATTAACTTACTTTTGAAAACCCTTAATTTCATTTTAATTGCAAATTACGAGTTTGTTTCAGATTTTCGCGCAAAGCTACACAAGGGCCATCCACGCATAGCCGCCCCTAATTTTGAACTGATAGACTAGAAAGAGCATATTATTGTAGTAATTTGATCTTTATCTTATGCAGTATATTGGGTTAGTTTCACGAAACAATAACAATATACCCTATATCTCGTTTTTGGTTACCATAAAGCAACCGTTTATAACGTATTCATATTTCTGTGCTCTGAAAAAACGTATACCCACAACTAAAGTACACCGCAACAGGCAAGAAGTGCTGCGGTTTGATATTTTAAGATCCGCATTTTTAATACAAAAACAAATGCAAATATGTTGAAAACAAACGTGTGCGTGTATTTATTTGTGATAATTGAAATAACACAAGAACTTTATTAGTCTCTATTAGAATCGGTTAAAAAGATAATAGTGAGCAATGAAAACACGAAAATATTGAACTTAAACAAGAAACACAAATTCAGCTTACATAATTAATGTACACTAGCCACAGTATGCTAAACCGATTCCCATAAAACTAGTAACGATAACTTACATTTTATACTAGCATCAAATACACGTGCTCTATTGCGGGGTTCAAAGGCACTCTCATGATTCACAGACCACTATTCACAATTAGTTCTACAGTTACCCCAAGGGGATCCGGATCCGAAAATAAAAACTGTAAGGACACCCGCCCGTGTGTCAAGTTTGATCCTGCTAGTTTGTGAGAGAGGATAGTAACATAATTTCTAAAATTGCGACCAGGGATCCCGAAGAGAGGAGGGGTGGCAGAAATATAAAATCCGATGTCAGATTTTAGTTCACCAACCCTGCAAACCTATCCAAATCATGCTTGGGTGACCTTCCGTGCGCATTTTAGCCCCCTTGTTATCCCAAATAAATAAGGGTATATAAATAAGGCCACCCGAGCCGTCTACCAAGTTTGGCTCTACTAGATACAAAACTGTGGGAGATATTCGCGGATAAACATGTTCACAAATACACAACGTGAATTAATATAGGATAATTTTAGGCTTACAACAATAAGATGAGATTTGATCAATTTCGTGTATTTTTAAGAATATGAGATTTGATCAGTTACGCGTATTTTTAAGTATATGTGATTTGATTAATTAAGTGTACTTTTAAGTATATGAGATTTGATCAATGAAATATATTTTTAAATATATGAGATTTGATCAATTAAGTGTATTTTAAGTATGAGATTTAATCATCAAATCTCATATACTTAAAAATACACGCAACTGATCAAATCTCATATACTTAAAAATACACTTAATTGATCAAATCTCATATACTTAAAAATACACGCAACTAGTTGCGTGTATTTTTAAGTAAATGAGATTTGATTAGTTGCGTGTATTTTTAAGTAAATGAGATTTGATCAGTTGCTTGTATTTTTAAGTATATGAGATTTTATCAGTTGCGTGTATTTTTAAGTATATGAGATTTGATCAGTTGCGTGTATTTTTAAGTATACGAGATTTTATCAGTTGCGTGTATTTTTAAGTATATGAGATTTGATCAGTTGCGTGTAGTTTTAAGTATACGAGATTTGATCAGTTGCGTGTATTTTTAAGTATATGTTGTGACAAAGGAAAACTGAACAAGTTTTCTACTTAAGCTTCAAAATACTGATTGTCGTTTTGCAATTCTATTAGAATGTGTTTAAGAGTTCTCTATCTCGAAATATTAAATATAGTGAGGTAAGTTTACTTTATTAACATATTTTTCTTTCATTATCAGGGTTGGAGTTCATTCATGAAATACTATTTATAAAACAATATTTGAGAAAGATACAGATTTAATACTGAGATGTATAAAGGTGTTTGTTTGTTTTACTCAGGTTGGGTGAACTCGATAGCGTCAAGCTTCTGCCTATGGCAATAGAAAAACAGACACATAATATATAAATACTGAGCTATAAATGTCACTCCTTACCTTGGCAAACATCAAGGTTTCTGAAATCAGGACGACAGCCAGTGGTACTCTCATTCTCTTGCTTGTCATTATGTATAAGATGACCCTTTATTTCGTGATTCTCTTTTGTTTTTACTCTGCTGTCAAGTGATAGCTCTTGGCCAGACCTGTTCTCTTCTTTCTCAGAATGGAAAGCAAATGTCAACAACAGTCTGTCGTCCTGCTGGCTCGTCAATGTGAACGAGTTTTGGTCTATGGATGAGCTTTCCGAGAAGTGGTTAGTTAATTCCACCTGATTATTGCTTGCTAATGGCTCGTTGGCTGCTGCAAATGTCAAACATTCAGAAACATGTTTTCGATTCCCAGTAGCAAGCACAACCTTTCTGTTAGGGAGCGGACATTCTTCGTCTCTCTTTAGGGATTTGTCTTTATTTTCGAAGCTTAAGAAATGTTCATGTTTTTTCTTGTACCAATTTATGCCACACATTTGATCCTTTGGTGAGCTATGTGTAGCCGAAATCTTGGGTTCGAAGCAGACGACTGGTTCATTAACTAACCGATTTTCTTTTGTTTCTGCTTCACTTTTACACCTAACAAAAGGGAGTTACTAATTAAAAGTATGCAACGAGAGTGAAGGAAGCATGCAGGAAAAAGTTACAATTCACTACACTTTTACACAAAGTAAAACAAAACTATTTATGAATAAAAAAGTATCATTATAAGAGCTGAACATCAAAGATATAATACCAATTACACAGTTTAACAAGGCTGAAAAAGTACTTTAAAACCCATACTATAGGAAAATAATATGGTTTGTTTGTAATTAAGCACAAAACTACACAATGGGCTATCTGTGCACTGCCCACCACGGGTATCGAAACCCGGATTCTAGCGTTGTAAGTCCGCAGATATACCGCTGTGCCACTGGGAGGCAAGACTATGGAGGGAATACACATGATAAAATATATTTATATGCGATATTCAGTATTTTGTGCAGAAAATTCACGCAAAATGATCTACTTTGGTCAACTCTTCGTGTGTATATTTTACACCAAACGGAATTTTAAATTCTCAATTTAAGATCGATGATTTTTGGACAAGTATTTATAATCCACAATGTTAATGAAGATAAGCTAGTCTAATTAGCTATCTTTTTTAAATGTTCTTCTGTTATTCTTTTTTGTTGTTGTTTTTTAATGCTACACACCCTGCTTCATTGGATACCTCCATCCACGTTACTGGCAGTTTTTACTAGTACACTCGCAATCTCCTCAATACAATGAAAGGATTACATTCTCTGAAAATAATCTTACACCAGTTTTATAAGGTTATTCCATAATACATATCCACCCTATAGATTTTTACTGTTTGCTTGTTTGTTTTTGAATTTCGCGCAAAGCTACACGAGGGCTATCTGCGCTAGCCGTCCCTAATTTAGCAGTGTAAGACTAGAGGGAAGGTAGCTAGTCATCACCACCCACCGCCAACTCTTGGGCTACTCTGTTACCAACAAATAGTGGGATTGACCGTCATATTATAACACCCCCACGGCTGAAAGGGCGAGCATGTTTGGTGTGACGGGGATTCGAACCCGCGACCCTCAGATTGCGAGTCGAGCGCCCTAACCACCTGGCCATGTCGGGCCAGATTTTTACTGTAGCTAAGGGAATCTAACGCACAGCTTAGCCTTACTAGGCTAAAATCGGTGTGATAACTTTTAAGTAGATTTTTAGCTTACCTACTGTTTTTCTTCTATTTTTTACGTTGTTGTGAAAACATGTACACACTGATTACCAAGCTCTTTTCAGCTCAGTCTTACAGTACTATTTTTTGTTGTTTTTAGATGGTTAACGGAAATACATCTATAATAGTTACTAAAATAATAACTTGGGAATTTTGTTTAAAAATTAACCGGTTGTGGCATAGTATTAGTAAACATGCCAGGCTATGGATCCGAGAATTTATGGCTCGCGAACTGTTGCTGTGGGTGAACTATAAAAGTGATAGTCAAATCCCACTATTCGATTAGAGTAGCCCGAGAGTTGGCGGTGGGTACTGTTGACTAGCTGATTTTCCTCCAGTCTATCAATTCAAAGTTAAGGACAACTTTGTACCCTTACGTGAGTATCCGTAAAATATTGAAAAACTTATATGAAAAGCAAAACCATTCGCAAAAAAAAAAATATATATATGCTGTACGGACTAGAACATGTCTTAGTTGTCCGAGATATCTACTAATCTTATAGTTCTATACTTATATCTACGACAAAGTTACTAAGGCTGTCTGCCATCGTTCCTAATTTTGAACTACCGATCAGAGGGAAAGCTGCCAGTTAGCAGCACCCTATCAACCGCTATCCACGCTGAGGGATTGACTGCCACTTTTATAACACACTCACAACTTAAAGTACGGGGAATATTTGGTGGTATTGCACAGATTAGCTAGCTTCGGGATCAAGAGCTCTACCACAGGGTAAAGCTGTGACCATCGGTTTATCTAATTCATGTTGATGTTATAAACGTAACTTTATCATACAGTAAAACTGTTAACATCAAAATAAAAAATAAAAAATTAGCAAACACTATTTCTTCACAATTTTTAGCTCAAATTTCCCACAGATCTACCAAGCGTTCGGATTATCAATGGGGAGTAATGACGAATTGAACAAGGAGGGATAAATACAGAAATTAAAAAATTACTTCTTCATCAGTCGCTTTTTTTTTCTTTTTACGATACGTGTCAGATATGCAATTTCTAGATCTTTGGTCAAATGTTTGTTTGTTTTTGAATTTTGCGCAAAACTACACGAGTGCTATCTGCGCCAGCCGTCCCTACTTTAGCGGTGAAAGACTAGAGGTAAGGTAGCTAGTCATCATCACCCACCGCTAACTCTTGGGCTACTCTGTTACCAACAAATAGTGGGATTGAACGTCACATTATAATGCCCCCACGGCTGGAAGGGCGAGCATGTTTGGTGAGACGGAGATTCGAATCCGCGACCCTCAGATTAGTCAAATTTAAGAGATACTTCCAACTTAAAATACAATAATTACTATGAAAAAGAAAAGTATATCCAAAAAAATTGCTCTAATGATGTATTTCTTGGCCAGTGTTATATCTTTGAACAAATCATTGTGAAATTCTTGAAATTATTAAACACTTGGACGACCCAAACTGTAGAGACATTAGCCATATATTTGTTTCTCTATCTTTTTCATTTCTACAAATTTCAAGCTACAAAACAAAGTACATTTCCAGCAACAAGATAAATGACGTGAAATATAGAAAGTACGATAGATATAGCACAGCCGTGGAATATAGAAAGTACGACAGATATAGCACAGTCGTGGAATACAGAAAGTACGACAGATATAGCACAGTCGTGAAATATAGAAAGTAAGACAGATATAGCACAGCCGTGAAATATAGAAAGTACGACAGATATAGCACAGCCGTGGAATATAGAAAGTACGACAGATATAGCACAGCCGTGAAAATATCAAAATATTATACAAGCCAAATGTTTTATATAAATATTGTTCCAACCGACCACTACAGTGTTTATTGTGTTCTAACCGACCACCACAATGTTTGTTGTGTTCCAACCGACCACCACAGCGTTTGCTGTGTTCCAACAGACCACCACAGCGTTTGTTGTGTTCCAACAGACCACCACAATGTTTGTTGTGTTCTAGCCGGCCTGATCAGGTCTATATTAAGCCAAATGCATCTTTGGCAATGGATATTGCGGTTGGAATACTGTTAAACACTCTGCTTGAAAAACCCCAAGAGACTGAATGTAGTTTTAAAATATAACAGGACTAATATCAATGTCTTATGACAAGTACATGTAATTATGTTTACTCTACTTTAATTGTTGATGGACAACTGTTGATTGTTTTCGATCAAATTAACTTGTACATTCGACTTTGATAATAATAATAACAAATCCATGCCAACGATACTAAATATGACAACATATCCAATCTGAGCATCGTCAGCATTAAGTGACCAAAATAACACAATTAAAATGTTTGTATTAAAATCAGAGCTCTTCCTAAGGATTTTTTCTCAATTGTAAGATCATATTTTAACTTCATCATAATTTAATACATGACGCCTTATTGCACCTCATATATACAGGCCTAGTAACAAATGATTCAAAAAATGAAGAATATTCTAGCAAATATCTTTATTTATCAACTCTGGAATGGAATTTTATAATCTTTAATACGCTTTGCAATGATTATCTACTTGAACTTACTTATATAGATGAATTTTCAGCTGCACAAATACTTTTACAGGTGCACACTAGGAAAACACCCGATTCAAATATTTGCTTGTCTGTTACCAACAACGAAGTATCAATGCATACTATAGCTTTACTACTTTGCGTTACAGATAGTTTACGAAATTTGTATTTTATGGATTCTTGAAAAGAATCAACATTTTTATCTGTGTTGATTTGTGTGTTACGAATCTATGTCGGGTAGTTGATAGCATGTTGTAAAGGTGAAAGTCAACATCGTTAGTAGGTAAAAGTAGCCGTAAAGGCGGCGGTTGCTGCTAACCAGTTGCCCTCCCTCTGTTAAACAGTTCTAAGTTAAGGATGGTTAAGCCTGAATTTTGTAGAGTCTAACCTTTTCGTTTAGTTCAAATGTTGCACAAGTGACGTTCAGGTTGAAAATACGAAACATAAAATGAGGGTTATGAATTCCTACAACGAAGTATCAAAACTCTAAAACTACTTTGTTTGTTATGAATTCCACCAACGAAGTATCAAAGTTCTAGAAAAACTACTTTGTGTGTTACGAATCCCTACAACGAAGTATCAAAGTTCTAGAAAAACTACTTTGTGTGTTACGAATCCCTACAACGAAGTATCAAAGTCTTACAAACTAATTTTTATCTTACCAATGTTTACAATAAAGTTCCAAAGCTCTAACAAGATGACTGTGTGTGTTACAA